ATATTTTGTAAGTCTGTTAAGATCTTTACATTTCTTACCAAAAAAAATAACCTTAGTTTAGAAGTAATTCTATTCTAATCTTGGACACATATAAAACAATTTAATTGTTAATTTTAGTAGGCCTATATAAATAGGCTAAGATTTTTATGGAGTATCTCTCTGAAAAGCCTACGTGATTGATACAAAATATTAAATAGGTTTACTAAATTCCTCAGTGAATAAAATCTTGCTATTTTTGTCCATCTTTAGTTCCTCGTCTCTGTACATTTTTATCTTCTTTGATAAAATTTGACCTGATCCCGGGGGCTATACTTCGTTCTTAATGAAATTTTTGTGATTTATATCATATCGATTTTCATAACATTCGGTCACCCCAAATTCGGCCAAATACCCCTTAAGTTAAGGAGACAATTATAAAATTTGTCATGTGAGATTGGACACAATCAACTGGAAAAGAAGGCCAGAAAGAAGACGAACGACCAACATAGGAATTGGAAAATTTGGGTGATACGGATGTTGGAAGGTCATGAGTAGACCTAATCGAATAACAAATCAAACCAAAAACTTTCTGGAAAACTTACAAAGAGATGGCATAAGTTGGAAATCTCATCTGTGCACTGGTGATTAAAATAACGATAAAGTTAAGACAAGCAACATTTCGCCGATGAGACAATGGTTGATGGTGAATTACACCTAATAGTTTTATAATGATGTTTTATGTAACGTACTTGTCAAATGCATGTTAAATGACAGTTGCCGGTCGGATGGATTTGTCGTATCATCGAAATGTGATCCTTTGCCGAAATGGTACATCAGTGTGTATGAGTATGCCATTGATTCCTACAATTACTGAACATCAGACAAATTGTTTTAAAAGTAGTGAAGATAATATCTTTAGGTTATAAAAGACATGGTTTAATCTACGATAAGCTTAAAAGGTATTTTATGTAATGAAGAGTAGACTACACATTTTCTCTGGAAAAAAATACTTATCTGTCGAAAGCCTATTTGTTATATAATGAAGAACATTTGGTATGAAGGAAACATGAGATAACGTATTATAATGTAGTAGTAATGAACTTGCGTGATAAAAGTCATAATGTAAGTTGTGTTAAACTTTAAGAGATTTTTATGTTTTAAATTGTAGACTTCAAGAGAAAAGAGCCCTCGGAAACATCGTTATCTATGGAAGACCAACCGAGTTAATACGAGAAGATTACATTCATAATGGCGCAAGGTGATATGCACATTTACAGGTCATAGCAAAGAAATTAATGAAATGATTTATTAGCTATTTGTAAAGATATAATTTCATATATATAATACTAATTTGCTTAAGGACACAAACGAAATGCACAATGATGTCTGGATTTCAATCTCTTGCTGTGTATTCGCTTGTGCCATTGAGCAAACCACTTTCTTTACATTGTTTCCCTTCACCCAGGAGTATATTGGTAGGCAACCTGGTGGGGTTGCCTGCTCCCTGCGCTATTTACGCAGCAACACTTACCGTAAGCATTTGGGCCCAATGATCTGGGACAGATGCGCCTCTCGTGAAAAGTAAAGGTGTTATATAAATAATAAATAACAACTAACAACAACAAATCATTTTACAATTTGAAATCTACTTTCTTATACAGCAAGTGACGTGGGCCTAATAATCGGATCCGTCTGCGGAGGATTTGTATTACTTGGATTAGTCTTCTTGTTATTTCGTATATACAACAGTCGTTGTAGAAGTCAGTCAAAATACGAACGAATTGGCCCGCGTTTAGTACCCCCGGCTGTACAGATCGAAAGTCGAAGCCTAGCTACACCTTCTATCAAGTGAGTATTAGGGATGCCTATACAGATTTACACTTATAATGGTTAGGATTTTTTAGCTCTTTTTAGTTTAATTAATTTATTTATTTCTAAGGAAACGGGTTCTACCGTATTAAAACATATTCCAATTTATTAAACAAAATTTTCAAAGCGCTTCTTGACTGAAGTTAATCTTTAATCCGTCTGGTATAAAACAGGACTACAAATTTAACAAGGGAACTCTTGCAATGTCTCTTACTTGTCTTGCATTTTTAAGTAAGTAAATGAATTTAATAAATTAATAACATAACATGAATGAAACACACACGTGAAAAAATGCATATTGTTGTACTACCGGTATCATTTATTTTAAAATGTTATACTCAAACATACAAATAAAAGATTGTATAATTTTATGAATAAATACTAGCTAACAATTAGAAGTTATTGTTTGGTGTTAAAAACGTCATTTTTGTTTGTAAAATAACTTCACCAGCGTTGCAGCAACATTGTTAACGTAATTTTCTAACGTAGCATAAGCACAGCGTTCGTGAATGTAAATAATAAAGTTTTTTGTTTACTGGGTAGTCAATTGTGAATTAAAGTTAGACTTTATTGCTTAATATTATTAACACAGTCTAAAAGCAGTGCCGTTTATGGTACCATTATCCGCCCCACGTGAACGATGTCCACCAACAGCCGTGTCACCCGGCTTTAGTCAACCTTCTAAAGACCTTTCTCCAGAGAACGCCGCTGCATTTTCTCGTGAGCGTCGGTTGTCAGTTCCGGGCCCCGAAAGACGTAATTCAACAGATCGTCGCTCATCGTTCACGGAAAGACGGCCGTCGTATACAGAACAGCGCCTCCCATTCAGTGATGATCTGGACTCTAGAAGAAGTAGTACCAATTCAATAATAAGTGGATGTAGTGATACAACAGATGGTAGTTCACCGCCTTTGCACTCACCAGCACGTCGCTTGTCTTACGTCGCCGGTGATGTCACCTCCCCTCTCGGTGAGTTTTCTTTTTTTCATTGATTAACTTATCCTAGCCCACGTGTATTGAATATTAAACTATTTTGTGTTATATAGGTTGAAGTTCAGTTTTAACTTCACAGTTCTGGTTCCCCAAGCACATTTGTTCTGTCATGATTCTAATTGATAGAGTTGTACTCCTCGCCGGCGTACACATTACTATAAATTATTTATAATAATTATATAGAATAATAGTCGAAGAAAGACGCATATTTGCGTTTTAAACCCAAAACAATCCCGTCCGGGTACATTACGAATTGATCTATGAGGTGAAATTGGCACACCTCGGGGTTTTCCCTTTGATGAAATGATATATCAATGTTACTCATTGACCTAATACTGAAAAAAAAAATGTTTCATGGACTGAAATTCACATATTGAAAAGTCGCGGACATGGCCAACCATCAGCTCGTATTAAATTTTACTTCTCCAAAATCATCTTGAAACTGCGGATTGAATAATACTTTTTCGGGTTTAAAAATACAAGATGAATACCTGTCCTGATCAGAAACAATTATTTATATTTATTTAATAAATCATAATTATGATCGTACAATGTTTTGCAATGTAAAATCGTAAATTTTATTTAACAGAAATTTTAACCCTGGAAACTCTTTTCCCCACGCCACCCCCTATAAGAATTTACACAACGGGTAAAATGTATTTACGTATTACAGTAAAAAGAAGTAAATTATTCACTAGGTCTACGGTAAATATGACAATATAGGTCGATATGATGGGATGCACGTCTGAATCAGTGTTTGCACACCCCGTGGCAGTAATGGGTCTACATGGACTCTTCTCCACGTATAGATGATGAAGATGAATGAGCTAAATATTGTGATGATGGTTACAAACAGTTCTCATAATTCTTCTGAATCACAGAGTTTTATTTGTGAAATGTTTGGCTATTTTACTGGTTCCCGAATGGATCCCGAATGGAAGTTTTAGTTTCTTTACTCTTTTTGCAATTTAACATCTCATGAGTTAATTTGCATTTGTCTGGAAAATAGTTAGAAATTACCATTAGGCCTATTATGGATATTTCCATCATGTGGTATGTAGCCTACATACCTCAGAAGTGGAGAATTGGTGCTAGATCATCCTGTTGTATTCAGACAACGATGTCTGCTGGTCATCTGATGGAATTTCTTCAGTGATTAAGCATACCGTTTGAAATCATTTATTTTTTGCTTAAAGCCCATAACTAGAATTAAAGTATAATCACGGATGAAATAATAATATAGACGACAATAACAATAATTTTTTTCTGCAGCCAACAAAATTTTGCAATCGAGATCAGAGTTTTTAAATTGACAGTAACAGAGCACATCTATTTTGATTACGCCCCCTAGCGTCACTAAAGTGACAAGTTTGCTAATGACCTGGTAAGCCTGGTTGAATGCCATATCCTTGCATCATCTAAATTATACGTTATTACAGATCTTAGTATTACCAGTGTTTCCATAAATAATCACGACTACTGATAAACAAATTGGTTAGTTATACGTAAAAGACGAAGAAACTAATATAAACATACAGAACATGGAACACTAGGATCATAAATCCAGTTATTCGAACATGATGATCTTTAACCCGAAAGGCGGCAACAGCGAATACTGCATAGGTGATATTATGAATGCCAGAATTCATTACTCATTGGTTGATTATCATCTTTTATGATGCCTATATTTTTCTGTCCCTCAGGACAACTTTCCAATCAGGGACTTAACTATATCCGACTCACACCAGTCATAAGAACCAAAATCAATCGCCGGATCATTATTTAGAATAAACAGCTGTCTGTTTTGATACGATTGTCATTCATCTCATAATATGGCGATTTCGATTGCACGAAAATGCGTAATATCGAGAACGTATGACTAGACGTTGTGTAAAGTTATCTGCGCATGCGATTTTCTCGTTATCTTCTGAATTCTAAAGACGCCCCCATACGTTGTGCAGAAAACGCAGAAAGGTCACTGATGAGTGAATCTGTTGTTGGTTCGTCGCGCAAAATGGAAGAGATATCATAAGCTTATAAATCAGTATAAGCCTAGATTTATAGATTGTATACACCGTTATGTGTTTTAGTAATATCTGTTAACATTTCAAGCTTGAAAGAAACCAACTAAATGCATTGTTTTCACTGAAAGTGTTAACACCTTTATGTTGCTTCATGTTTTGCGTTTTTGACATTTTACATGATACTTTTATATAGGCTAGGTCCATTTAAAGAACACAGATTATTATTATTATTATTATCATTTTTTTTTTGTAATTGAAATGCTGCTACTAACCCCGGTTACCCAAAAGCCATTTTCAATATTTTTATAGATCTATTTGTAGAAAATGGTAGAAAATAATAACATATTTTATCTAATTATAATTATTCAAGATATTCTAAATGTATTTAAGATTTCACAGGAACAATTACAAAAATAACTCACCTTATAGGCCTAACCACTAGGATGACGTTTAGTGGTGGATCAAAAACTTCCAAATATAGACATCCAGAGAGATTCTTTTATTATGGAGGATCTATACGATATTATTACGATATATTGTATAGCACCTCTTGATATACCTGAAAGTACACTCTCGGTTTTACAGCCGATTTGGAATATTGTCGTCAAGAAAAGTATTTTTGTATATTGGACTAAAAATAAATGTAATAATAATGATAATAATAAAAGATATTAAAGTTAAGAAAGTTATAAATATAAATGGTACTTGCTTTAAGTACAGAGGAAATATCAGTACACAGTTATAAGTGATACATATTTGATACGTACGTGAAAGGAAAGAGTTTTCTATCTTTAGAACTCCTAGATAAATAATAATTGCCCTTCTGATTAAGGATTTTTTTAAAAAATAATTTTTCATTGACTAAAGTTCAGCTTGATGAAATTTTAATAGGTATCTATATATTACATTAAATGATTTTCTGGTTGAGGATTGGT